TTTGTGCCTAAGGTGGAACTAAAACTCCCAGTCTCCCAGTTTCTAGCCTGATGCCTTAACCACTACACCAGACTGGCTCTCCTGGTCATAAGTTACATAGCCACAAAATTTACTCTGTCCAAAGAAGAAGACTTGCTTGTGGAATTATTGTTCTCAGCTATTCCTGTCCAGGCAACATGAAAAATCCTTGCCTGTTAGATAGTTTGCATACTTTCACTTGTTTATTGATTGAACTCACTTATCTTAAAGAGTATTTTCTGTCATAATGTGGTAGGTTACACAATTATTTTATTTCATGTTTCAAACTTTCTACCCCTGCTGTGATTTTGTGATGCATGAACAGCCTTTCATCTGTTCATTTTTATGGTGTAATGTTGTATTGCATTTTCAAAGAAAGTTAGTCCTCTGAAATTGTTCAGAAAAACTTTCCTACAGTTTTAGTACTACTGTGACTGATCCATTCTGTATATCACCTAATAGACAGATGTTTTCTTTACATGGTTTCACAAATAGGAAGATTTACTTATTTACATTATACAATCCTATAGCTTGTAGGAAATAAAAATGTCATGATAGATTCAGTGATAGGTCCATATCAGTTACAATAGAAGAAAAAACTGTTAGAATGTAAGTATTAAGTTTTAATTTTAGTCCAATGGACAGATAATTAACTACTTGGAGGATTTTAGGAGTAAAAAATAAATTTTCAAACAAAAATATTACTGAAAAATGTAGTGACATATATGAATATCTAGAACATAGAAAGCACATTCATGTGGGGCAGGGATGTTCAAGTGTCCCAGCTGCTGCCCCTGAAACTAATGCTCTGGTTGGGTGTTGTTGCTGTTTGTTTGTTTGTTTTTGTACCCTTAGAAATAATTCCTTAAAAAAAGAAGTGACTGAGTTTTATATTGACTTCTTCTTTCCCTTCTTCCACTTACGATGCAGGATCTCCAGTCAGAAGCTCCATATCATTTACTTCGCTTAAAAATAGAAGTGGAAAAAAGCAAATTTCTAGCAACACTGCAAGAATGTCATGCTGAACTTGCTCGACAGCATGAGCTCATGACCAAGGAGAACAGTGAAAAAATAATTAAGGAGCACAAGGTAATCCTAACTCTTTCCCTAAATAGTCAGAGTTTTTCTCTGTATTTTGATATCTGCCTTGACTCTTTAAAAATAAAGGTATGTGCAATATAGAAAACATTACTGTCCTGTTCCAATCTGTTTGCTTGGCATTATGCCCCTGTGATTCCAGATTAGATACAATTTCATAATCAAAATGATATATGAGTGGGTAATTTGTTAGTATAGAATTTGGCATCTGATATTAATGACTGATCCATTACCTATTCAGCTTATGATTTGGTCTACATTACTATTCAGCAATGTGTGCAACTTCTACAAGCAATGCTTACTTGGATAAATGAGAGCTTAGACTCACAAATATTATAATTAGAACATCATGTTTCATTCAGATTTGTACTGTGAAATTTGTAATATGGAATTAGCCATTGTTCCGAGAATTTTTGGGCATGCATGTAATTAAATTCATTTCGAAAATATGGTTGACATAATACGTTGCTGTTTTCTTTGCCAGTACATTACAACATCATATATCATGATGTACCTTCCTAGGATCCATTGTTTCCCATGGCTCTTGTTTATTATTGTTAAGTGACTGAAGGCACCATCTTCAGTATAAGCAGAATTTATATACTGATTTGATCCTTTAACAAAGCTGCAATTTAGAGAGCTTACTTCTTAGGAGATATGCATTGGATTGTACTACAAATAAAATCTGTGCCCATGCTTATTGCAAATGGAATGCAGGTCATTTATCATTGTAAACAAGTAAGAGTTTTGCTTTGGAAAATTGTTATATCTTTGTAGCATCCAGTAGCTACACACGTGCAAAAACATAGTCTGGTGGCTTAGTTATAAGATTATATAGATACAGAAAATGTAAATTAATCCATAATAAATCTCAGTTTGAAGACACTATATAATGAATATTGAAGCTACTTCAGTCATCTTAAGTAGGGAATGATGATAAGAAAAAAAAATAAGAAAGGATTTGTAGTTTTTAATGAGCAAAATGATCTGTAGGATACTTGTGCTATGCAAAATGTCCATTTCCTTTTTTTTTTTTGCTTAAAAAAAATTAAGATGCATGATCCATTGCTAAGAAAGATATACAATTTTCAAAGAAAGGGAAACAAACAGGTCTATTTCTTTATTGTTGTTGTTGTTGCTGTTGTTATTATTATTATTTTAAAGGACCAAAGGAATTCCTATGTAGAACAGCATTAGATGCTCAGCTTTTCAGAATCAAACATACAAACACATAATCCCTTTAAAAAATAAAGCAGTGTTATCACAGGTATGAGTAGAAGAACTATATTATCTGTGGTTGTATTGACACTTGTGTCTTTTAGTATAGCTTTCCTGCACTTGTTAATAGTGAAATTACAATGGAAATTCCTCATATCATTTTGTATAATCATGTATAATCCAGCCTTGGCTTTCCCAGAGACTTCCCCTTTCATTCAGCAAAAGTTTAATTTGAAAGATTCTTCTCATAAAATTGTTTCCCTGGTTAAATTGACTGGCTTAATGCTGAATTGTCCTTAATTACTTTTGTACCCTGGAAGGTATCCCTGTGAAGGAGAATGGGTGGGTGGGTGGAGTTTATAATACTGGTTTCTTCCCATTCATTTATTTTTTCTTTACTTTATAGCAAACTAATATAATCTCATATTTGTAATTGGGAACAAATGATACAAACAATGCTGATTCAGAATTAGGCTCCCTTCCAGCTATATAAAAATAAGATAATTAATTCTGGGACCTGTTCTCAGTCAAACTTGGCTTCTAATAACTGGTTTCCCTCCTTAACTCCCTAGTAAGGCCCCAAGACTTCTTGACTTCCTGCTGCCATGACTACCGCAGTGATAAAGAAACAGTTAGTAGACCTCCTCATTCTCCTCCCCCAAATAATTGCCCTTCTTACTTTTACAACACTGTTTTGGTAGTGATCCAGATGTGAGATGTGGAGAAAGAATGTGCCAGGGTAAAAGAAGAGGGGTATGTGAGTTCTTTGTGGATTAAGATGCAATTTTGGTGATGATCTGAGTGTTATTTCACAGATTAGAAATTCCCAGGTCAATAAGATTAATATGGGGACAGTTCACTAGATATTTTTAACAGTCATACAAATCATCTTAGTGTATAACATCTCAACTTGTAGTGCCGATGAAGGGATCAAAAAAATCCCTTCTGGATTCCTTGCAACTGAAGGAACTTAAACTATTTCCTACAATCAAAAAGTTAACAAGCACTGCCATTTCCCTAATAGAGATGAAGTATCTGCACAAGTCTTTACATACATTTGTAGAATAAATGTGAATGTCTTTAGTTTTTGAACATCAGGTAGAAATTACATTTTATAAGTTCATTTGTACTGGTGTGTAACTTTCATACAGATGTACATACTAATAATGGAAAAGATGTTCTTTTAAATCTAGCCATGTCAGTGGAGTGAGCAACTGTTTCTGTTTTGTGCCATCAGCTGTTTTTTGGTGATAAAGGGCCTTTACAACTATGTGAGAAACGACAACAACTGATTAAAGAATTGTGCTTGAAACTACCAGAATGGGATTCAGTTAAAACAACATTTGAAAGTAGCCAGAAAGAACTCAGTGAACTTAAATCTCAGGTTGTCAGCACCTACATGAAACTAGTAGCTCAACCAGATAAATGGAAAGAATACAAGAACAGGTAACTAACTATATGAACGGCTATGGTGAAGGCATGATAGATATAATTAGTAGAAAACTAGAACTGCAATGTCCTTTAATGTCATAAATACTATATTGCTTGTCAGAAGCATAACATTTTAAAATTGTACATGAATAGAACATCAAAGAGCAATATCGTAAGAAGTAAAGGATCTAGATTAGAGTTGTCTGAAAAATTGCCATGATTTGCCCACTTGAAATTTTCATCCATTTGAACAAGCAGCATTCCTTCCTAACTGATTAAAAACTTTTGCTATGCAGAAACTTCAGCTGCTCGTTTCTTGAGCTCCATTGAAATGTTTGTCATTAATTAACCCACTATTGTTTACCTTGCTATTTGCTTATCTTTCTATGGCTATGTTTCAGATTTTCTGAATTACAAAACTGGATTTCATCGAAGGAGGCTCAACTTAAAACAATTAAGAATGGTGCAGCTAATACTACTAAATACAAACACTTTAAAACATCAATAGAGGTATATTAAAAATTACTTGAAATGGATATGTTCTTGTAATACTAACACACTGACTTGAAGTGGTTGAAACTGACAGTGCGAGCAGGCCTTTTTCTGCTTTTCGCATTTTAAAGCTAGGCCAAATAATTTACAACAAATGTAAATAATGTTATATAAACAGTGAAATATAAAATAACTGAAATTTCCTGGATAAATAAAAACAACTCTGGCTAGAAATTCAACTCTTTAGAAAGAAATGTGTACAATGTAATACAGAAGCTTTTGAAAACCCATTGGTTATTTCAAGACGAAATTGTGTCAATAAATGTAATCAGAATGATTAGTTCACACGTTTCAGATATTTTATACTAGAAAAAATGTACCATAAGAATGCATTGGCACAAACTGCCAAAATAGACCTCACAGTTGACCTGCAGCAGTAGTAGGAACTGAATGGTTTCCGAATGCATGGCATTGCACAAAAGAAGTGACATTTTGGGAACAGTGGCTATATGTATATGTATACATACACACACACATACTGTACATAAAGTCTCACATACACACATATGAAAAACTGCATGCAAAAGGTGTGTATTGCATTAATTTTATTTTTGAAAAACATATGCAAGGGAAAGTTATACACAAAAGCAAACATTAGGGGAAAATTATAAATAATAGAGTTTTTTCAAGCAATATGTTTTTTAAAATTGCAAAAGTAGGCAGGAGAGAATAACACATAATATTTATATTGATTGAATGTAGGTTGATCTTCAAATCTTTATTTGCTAAGCACTAATATAAAAGACACTTCACCCTATTCAGCCAATACAAACAAGGACAGAACTCACTATGGGAGAAATGGTGAGCAGCCTACCCTCTTTATTTCAAACTGTGGGATCAGCATAGAGCCATTTGTCCACAAGTATTACTGTCTGCATCAAGAAAGACTTCCTGCATGGAACTCTACCCAGAAAGGCTACCTCTTGTAATCATGGAAGTTGTATTGTTCTTCTGGTGAATAGCTCTTCCCTAACACCACACCATTACTTGCTAAGTAGAGGGATCCTCAAGCGATTTATATCCTTGAGCATATTAGCTTGTGACAATCCCACACGTATATACAGTACGTACCTCTCATTCATCCTATTGACCTAATATCTTAATTGGCTTTTCCAAACTACTAACATGTTTCATACATTCTGTGACAGAACTTTGTGTCCTGAGGCAGCCTTAGTTGACTTACCCATGCAAACTCATGTAAATCTGTTTCTCCCTTGTTTGGGGCATCTAATTTTTATATTGATTCTGTTTCAGGAAATTAGGCAAGATGCTTGCAAGAAGGGAGAAGTTATCATCTGGTTGAAATCTAGGCTTGTTGCCTTATCTGAGGTTTCTTCAGAGGATGAAGTAAAAAAGAAAGGGAATGAACTTTCAGTACTTGCTAGTGACTTTAAGAAAGTTTTAGCCTTGTTGACAGAGGTATATTATAATTTCATTATATTGACTTCAGAAGCTGCCCTATTTTCTATTATTTGTCCAGTTACAGTAAGTTAATAGCATTCTGTTATGTTTCAGCAATTTAGTCTGAATGTTACTGTAACCACTGATGATTTCTCAGTGATATTAGTGGTATTTTGATGTACCTAGGTACTTGAAAAACAATGATCAGTTTTTCAACTAACTAGGTACATCAAAATACCACTAAAAAATAACAGAATTGTTAATTATTGTATAGTTCTGCATGTAATTGCATCTCTGATTATAGGTAAAAGTAGTTCCCTGTATTTCCATATGTCATTTGTAAATTATTGTATAATATTTCAAAAGACAACACATACTGTATATGCATGTATGTGGTAAATACATGAGAGCCACAATTCTGATGTTTCCTAGATGTATAATTCTGCACGTTTTCCTAAATGTATTTTCTAATCCAATTATACAGTTTGCTTATGAAAGTATTGCAGGGATCCTTTTCTGTAATATAGAGTTTGATGGAAGCACGTGATTACATAAACTTACTTTTTATGCTGAAGTCAGTGTGCACAATATGCAGTGTGCATCAAAAGAAAAGGAGCTGTGTGCACTATGGGGAAAAGATCCAAAATTCATATTAATTTTCCCATTGGCAATTTTCCTTCCTCCTGCCCCTTCCTCTGCCCTCCATACACTTGTGTTATAGACAATGTGTATATCAATTTCTCCCCTAGACTATTTTTGGATCATTCATATTTGCTTTGAGAGTTTTTTTTCCTAAAATAGTTTTGTATTTCGGAAAGCTTTTGGCATTTTAGAACTTGCTTATGCTTACTGTTTGCTGAGTATGGGCACAAAAATATTTATTTTCAGAAAATGAGTTCAGCATTGGGATATAGAATAGAAAAAAAAGGATTGGCAATTATCATGGCCAATTCTACAATTAATTTTTAAAAATTCCAAATTAATCTGGAAGGGTCAGATAGAATAGAGCAAACTCACAAAATAATAATAGAATAAAGTGGAATAGAAAAAATCTATTGATAGTTAGTTAGAATTGTTGATGCCTGTCAGATAATTGGAAAATAATATAGAGACAATGCAATTAATTGCTTGATCATATACTTGCACTGCATTTTAGATTGCTTTAAATAATGCCAAGTACTGCTTACTTGGCACTGAGTACCTTTAGAGAGCTTTAATATGGTTTCTAAACACAGATTGAGAAGACACTGGGTGCGGTTGGAGATTGTGTTCAATACACTGAAGAAGTGAAAGGCACATTGGAAGAATTGATCACAAACTCAAAAGAAGCTCAGACAGAAGTTGAAAAAATCTTAGATGTTGATAACTTGTTACAGGCCCAGCAAATCCTTCTACATCATCAGGTACAACAACTGTCCACACATCAGCTTTCACTGAATGTGTAACAAGTGCTTAAATATATATTATTGTTGCTGCAAGCACTAATATCTGAACTGCTGATAATGGTTAAGAATCCATTTCATATAGGCTGAATTGGAAAGAGGGGATATTACACTTTTCTGTAATAAGGTGCTGAGGGCGAACATTTAATATATTTTTAGAAGGGGAAAGTATAAACCTTTTAAAAATGATTATGTACTTTGCCAAAGTGACTTTTTGTTATTCCTTTTCTCTTCCCACCCCCATTCTTGTCTTCATTCTTCTTACAAGAAACAACAAGTTTTCAAGGACCATTTCACAATTTACATAGGGCAAATTTGGGACTGCCATCAAGCCAGTCATCTTGGCAAACTGTATGATAATGGTGTTTGTAATAATATATTTTTCAGCCTATGCTTAGTATAATGAACTGGCATCAGGTTGATTGAAAGTATTCTTTCACCCATGTCTTCCCTGCCTTTTCCATGGCAATACTTTAACGACTGCCAGACTGGCCTCGAGGAAGGAAAAGGGAGCTGCCTGGATTCAGCTGAGGCTCTCCTGAAGTGCTTGTTGCCGCTGTCTGTTTCTTCAGTAAAGTTGTATTTAGGGGAGGCGAACATGGGAGACAGTGCCCCCAAGAATGTTACACTCAGAAAGAGCAAAACCTAAAAGGGTTGTCCCTTTGGGAACATTATGAAGAGTGACAGCTCTGAGGGCCCTGCCTTCCTGCCTGCCTGCCTATCTGCCTGCCTGCCTTCCCCAAAAAGGAGAAGTGTGGGCTGTGTGAGGGTAAGAGCTGGGAGATTTCCCAGACGTGGGAAAGATTCTAAATTCAGCTTCCACCCACGTCTGATGAAAGCTGACCTAAGTGAATAGTCACAAACAATGAAAGTACAGAAAGAGAAGTTCTGTAAGAGACAGAGGATCTATGTGGCTGCAGTCCTTCATGCCCTTTGGGCCTTTATCAGAAACCTTGTGATATGGCTTCTGAGTCTCCCTCCCCCAGTGATATTGCCCGCTAACTGCCAGTTTGGTTCATAATAAAATGTGGATGAAGGAACCAATTTTGCATCTATTACTGAGACCTAATATGTGAGCTGATTGTGTGGATTTGGCCCTTCTGGTTTCTCAGTGCATTTGGTATGGATCAACCCAGTCCGGGGGAACAGAATGGAGTTGCTGTGGTCCATAAGAATATTGTCTTTCTCACCACTCTTTTGAATATGGCAGGTTATGAGGTTGCTATCACCATTATAGATGGTTGGTCATTGAGATCATCAGGGGAACTTCTAGGTGTTCTAAGAATGCCCTCTGGTGGCAGTTTGCAGGTGTCCTTTTTTGGCAGCACCCATGCCCTGAAATTTGGGGTTGCCTATTATACTACCTTTTAGATGCCTGTTGAAAATTTGCTTCTTCACTTAGGTCTTCCTAGTATGACTGTTGGAAGAATGTTCCTTGCCTCACTTTTTCAATGGATATGTTTTGTTGGATATTTTTTTCATATTTTAAATATTTAAATGTATTTATTTATTTAAGAAAATTAATGAATTCTGGGTAGCTAACAACAATTAACCAAAAAAATACCTTCTGTAAATCAAGCAAAAAAAAAAAAACTTAAAATAGATCATTACATAATAGCCAATGCACTATATAACAGACTCAGCCACACAAACCACACCTA